TGTTCTTGGTTCCATTTTTATGTTATAGTTTTTATCTAATGTCCCCCCGAGAGACTAATGTGCTCATAGGTGGTGCTTTTGGAAGGTGATATCACAGGGGGCAATATAGCTGACTTGCTGTTAGAAGGTGGGAAGGTGAGGTTGGTCAGAAGAGACAGATCACTGGGGGCCTCACCTGGAAAGGTCTATCTCCCTCCCAGCTCCTCCCTTCTCTCTCTTTGCTTCCTGGCCACCACATGTAAGCAGCTTTCCTCTTCTAGGCACCTGCCATGCTGTCCTGCCTTGGAGCCAGTGGACTATAGACTAAAAAAGCAAGCCAAAATAAACTCCTCTCCCTTAAATGTGGCTGTTAGGTATTATGTCCCAGCAATGAGCAAGAGCCTAAGACACTGTCTGTGCTTCCAAAAATATCCCACAGATATTGAGTGTAGGTGGAAGCTCAATCTCTGATATTCAAAATGTTTCCATAATTTTTTCCTTTCTATTATTCAGAGCCCCAGAAGTCAACAAATATCCTGAAGTCATAAATGTCCAAGCATACCTGCACTCCCAAATCTCTGCCAATGGCTCTTATACATTCTTTGTCCCAGGATTCATTAGAGTTCACCAAGAAAACAAGCCCCTAATGCAATGTGAGGTAAATTATGAAATATAGCTGTTAAAGTTTCCATGATGGTTGATGGTAGGAGGAGCTAAGAAATAAGCATTTAATCAGGGGAGGGTGAAGACCAGAGAAACTGTCTAGAGCTACATCTACCTGATTCTGAGACAGAATGAGAAAGTCAGACTTTTCAAGAAAGCATCAAAAGCCATGCACCTTTGTCCTCTCAATCAGTCCAATATTAATTAGTTCTCTTGCAGAGATGTACATATAAACTGCTTTTTCAGTGTACTCATCACCTGTGCAGGCCAATGACCAAGCACCTGCTGGGGTCATAGAAACTCCTGTTGGTCCAAAGGCCTAACAATGGTGCATGTGGGTGGATATACAGGAGGATAAGAGAGAAGACAGTTTGATATCTAGCAGAGTATATTGTTGAATAAAACTACAGTGATGCTCCATATAGTCTCTGCTTCATCTCATCATTGCAAATCTCAGTCAAATTCCTCTCCAAAAGAGCCACACAGAGATGAAGATTCTCGGAAAATAGTTGTCAGCCTCATTCCAAAGCTATAATTCCCAAACCAACATGATACACACGAAAGTCCCTTAGTAGTGAACTATTGCCTGGACATATCCCAGATTCACAATCTCCTGTCCAAATTCAAAATAAGCAGATGCCCACAGGGTAATGGTGGTTTGTGTAGTAGTGATATAGCGCTAATATGATTTGGGTATAATGTGAATCTCCTCCGAAAGCACATATACAAAGGCCTGATCCCCAGGGTGGCAGCATTGTGAGGTGCTATGATTTCTCCTTTCTGTTTGCATAGTTATACCTTTTGGAATAAGGATCTTTAATTTATTTCTGTCTCATCACTGTAGCTTACAAGTATACGATTAGTTCTTATATTTGTGAGGGTCCACAGATGAGACTGCATTGCACATCAGAGGAGACTTTGCCTTGGTCATTTGAGCAATGTTGAGAAGAGTTCAAAGGTGTGTCCTTTTAGTATATGATGAATGCATTTTGCATCGGGACTTAGACATTAATATTTTGAGATTAGGGCAAAATAGTATGATTTGAATGTTCCCCAAAGATACACATATAAAAACTAATTCCCCAGGATTGTGTTATCGGGAAGTACTGTAGACTTTTATGAGTTCAGGCCTTGGACTTGTGGTATAACTCAATGGTACAACACTTATCTGGTATGCATGAAGCCCTGGGTTCAATTTCCGGCAATGAAAGGTTGGGGTATATGGAGCCTAGTGCAAGGTCTTTAGGTAATTGCGTATTGCCCTCACAAAGGATTGTGGAACTGTATCTACCCATTATCTCTCTGCAATGATTTGAAATGTGACTATTTTGATCCTACGCTCTATCATGATATACAACTAAATTCTACTCTCACTGTCTTGATGAAGGCACTGTATCTTAGAACTTGCAAAATTGAGATATGTAAACCTATTCTAAATTCGTAGCCTCAAGTATTTTGTTGTAGTAGCACAAAGTTAACTAATAAATTAACAATCAGGATTTCTTTTCAGAGAGCTTGGAACAAAGAATGATATGCAAGGTGGTGAAACACAATCAGGGGATGGCATGGGCTGAAGAAAAGGAAATTATCTGTCCTCAGAAAATGTTTCAACCTGCCTTCCAAGACCTGTGTTTCTGCCTTTCCCTGATTGTTGGTCTGATCACTGGGCCTCCGGCCATGCATCCTCACAATAGGACCCTGAAGATAAACATAATCTTCTCAGAGCACTAGGCCTCACAGTAAGACACAGGGCACCTTGAAGTTCAGGATCTGTCCTGCTCCCACACCCGGCCTTATCATCTGTGTGTGGCAAGCACTGCCATGAGATATACTCCTAGGACTTTCCTACCTGGAAAATCCTAGCATATGACTGGAAATCAACTGAGCAATGAAGAATCACCAAGGGTACACTGGGATTTCTACACATATGACCATGGAGATACAAAACCTGGGGTGCTGCAATGTTTTTATTCACGGGAGACAACACAGATGTGTAGAAAAATATCCAGACCTTACAAAAATAAGGCTCTACAAAGTGATTTTCATAAGGCCAAGCCCAGTACCTGTGAATATCCTCTCAGTTTAGGGATATACCAGAAGGTATAGTAATTCTGAGTGCAGAGGGAAAAAAGACTCATCCTGGTCCCTAAAACTGCCTGGGTAGAGTGATTTACCCACAAGGTGTCAAAAAGACAGAGATACTTATGAATAGCAACTGTCGTACAGTGCATAATACCACTTGGACATGTCCTGGTTTTTGTACAGCTGAAAGTGTTTATGAGTTCACAGTCATGCAATCTCAAAGCAGAGGCCTCTGAGAAAGGAAAACCAGGTACTGGATATATTTTCCATATACTTTTTCACCCATTATCAGCCTACTTCACCCGCCTCCAACAAGTGCCCCTTTCTTCTTTTCCCAACCACTTCCTCAAGCATGCACAGCTCAGCCCTCAGCACATTTCAGGTCTCCTCAACTAGTCCCTATGACCAAAGGTAGGTCCACATAGGTAAGACCTTTCCCTCCAGGCTTGGCAATGCCACATCTGGGACTGCTGATCTCTGCACAGGAGGTCCACTGCTCCAAGGAAGGCTGGCCACTTCTGAGAGCTTGGCATCCTCCTGGATTTCCCTGGACATGGTCACTCCTGCCTATTCCCGAGCAGGAAGTGCCACCTCCAGACTCCCCCTCAGGTCTCTTGGTCAGCAGCTCTTTCAAGAAAACTTTTCTCCCTTTTGTCCCTCTCCCTGCTCATGAACGCACTCCAAACTGACTTCAAGCTCCCTGATTACAGTGTCAATGCAAACTCTAGCTGGCTCAGATGATTCAATTTCTACTGAAGACATTCAAAAACCCTGATTAACTCCAGGTGAATTCAAATCCAGCCCAAGACAGTAAGAGACTTGGAATGATACTTGCAGAAGAAGCATTGGTGACATTGGTTTCCACCAACTGGAGCCCTGTGATAAGGAGTAACGGGGAGCATCATTCCTACAGGAGCAGACACCTAGAGGTAAGAGACCCACAGCTCATCAGTAAGGGCATAGCTCCTTACTCCAACTTTATTCCCCCAACGTCAACAATCAAGGAGTCTTCCCTAACCTGCCCACCTCTGGGGCCCTCCTCCGCTAAGAAGTGCAAACTATCACAGAAATCAAACAAATGTTCTACAATAGAGGAACAAAATACGTGCAAATTTAAAATTCCCTTGAATGTATTAACAGCCAACTTGACTCTGCAAAGGAGAAAATTTAGCAAATACGCAGACACGACTATGGAAAATAACCAAACTGCTACCAAAAAAAAAAAAAAGTAGAATGATTACAACCTGGAAAAGGAGACGCAAGGGTGAGACAAAATGTGGCATACGTGTAATGGTAGCTCTACAACGAAAAGATAGAGAAAGGGAGAGGGCGACTATATGAAAAGTCATTGGTAGAGTCATGTTCCAATACTAAAAAAAGGTATCACCCTACAAACAAGACATTCATAACCAGTGCAAGGCAAAACAGTCTGAGACATGTCACAGTTATAAACCACAAAAACAACTTGCAAAAAATGGAAATCTAACCAGACAGAGTGGCACACGTCTATAGTCCCAGCACTGTGACTTGTTGACACAGAAGATTCCAAGTTTGAGACCAGACTTGGCAAATTAGCAAGAACTTGTCTCAAAAAGTAAAGAAGTCAAAGGATGTAGCTCAGTGCAGGTGCCCTCAGTGGGAAAAAAAGAAAGAAAAGTAAAAAGTGAAAATCTGAGAGGTAACAAGAGGAAAACAAAAGAGAACCTTTCATATAGCAACAGTTGAAGTGATGGTCAACCTTTTACACAAACAATGAAAAACAAACAAAAAAGATCAATGGCTACAAACTAAGGAAGAAAAAAGGAATTTGCAAAGAAACATTTCATTCTTTAAAAACAAAAATATACTTCAAAGGCCAAGTGAAGACAAAAGGAGACCAAAACTATTGGCAAATAGTGTTCCTAGTAGACCTGCTACCAGAGCACAAGAACATTGGAGGGGTGAGTTTACAAAATCTCAAAAAGAAAACCTAAGACAACCATAACCCAAAGCACAAGAGGCTATAGAATAGAAAGATGGAAAATGTGATATCAGTATCACTGATGTAGACTTATAGCCAAAGTTTTTGCAAAAGGGTAAGAGGATAGCTGTTTCAGAACAGAAAATAAATTCTGATACTGAAGAGTACATTCTCTGACTATAGTGGCCTTAACCCAGTTGGTGCTCAGCGAAGGGAAACTAGGAAATTCTCAGGTCTGGAATTTAAGAGACAATTCCTGGTGGCCACCCAGATGATTTTTAACAAAAATCATAGCTATTTTAGAGAGAGTGGTGATAAAAATATGACAGATTGAAACCTGGTATAAGGAGTCTGAAGGGATCTGAATGAAAAGGGGGGCCCAGAAGACACAACTCAAGTAGGGAAGAGAGACAGGAAATGTGATGTTTCCAGTTCCCACCTCAAACTGTCAGAAAATGACCCAGACAAAGTACCAGAAAGCAATAGGAAGAAGGTGTTGAGGCAGATGCTAAGACCCTGACTTGGGGGACAAGGACGACTTGGGAGTGAGGGGATGGGAGAGTTTGAACTCTAGTGGTGAAAAGACTAAAATGTGCGCTTGTGGCAATCTCAGGGATGGGGAGCAGGGGGTGTCACAGGGCCTTAGGGGGATGGAATTCCAGGACAGAGGGCTGAAACTTGGGCAGAGGGTTAGGGTGGGAGGGTCAAAGACCAGGGACAAGATGGAAACCTTGGGAGGGTCTCAGGGAGGAGGGAGTATTTGGGATGAAGAGTCTCCAGGATTTAACAGGAGGGCCTCTGGGAGGAGAGTCTATAGCCCTCGGGGTGTCTGGTAATGAGGGGGTCTATAGGACTCAGGGTTCACAGACTGAAGAAAGTCTACATGATGAGGCATCCCCAGGACCAAAGTAGAAGCCTCAGAAACAAGAGGCTCCACGACGAACAGCTTGGAAGCGGCTGCAGCTTGGAAGTGCTGTACAGCCCAGAGCGCACTGCTCTGGGAGCTGGTAACCCTGTTCTGGCGTGGAGCTACGAAGGCTACATCATCTGTACTCCCTTCTCAGACCTTCTTGGGGAATAGCCCTCCTCCCCCCATTTTTCCAGACTTTCCACAGGGATCTCCTCTTCCCACCGTAGGGAACTTTCCCGCTGGAGCGGCCATTAGCCCTTCTGGAATCTTCTGAGGGACGTTGTGGAACTTTCCCCAGGAGTCCTCATTCCTCTAACGAGACTTACCAGTTCTCGAACATTCCCGCGGGAATCATCCATCACCACTTCTAGAACCTTCCACAGGGGCTGCCCTTCTTTTCAGACCCTGGGGCTGCTGCTCACCCGCGCTCTCTCCGAACCCTGGTGGCCACACGCTCAGAAGTGAGGAAGTTCTAGAGGACAGATCCACTGCAGGTAACATAGAAAGTGATACGTTTCACCGGCTTGCCTTGGAGAAGCCCCCTCCCCCACCGGGGCCCCTCCCCTAAGCTCCGCGACCCAGACCCTGCGCCTTGAAGTCCCGCCCAGGCCCTTAGCCCCTCCTTGAGAAGGGCGTGGGAGAGCCCCCCCCGCCCCGCCCTAGGGAGTCACCAAGCCCCTGGCCAGTCTTGTTCAAACTGTGAGGTTTGTTCCCCACCATTCACCTCCCTCAGTTTCTCTCAATTCCTGGGATTCTGTGTCTGAGCCATGTGCAGCAGGATGAGCTGCTTTCCCTGAAAGGAGTGGCCTGTGTGTGATCTCCGCTCTGGGTGCCCTGTCCTTTCCCTGCTTTGGGAGAAGCTCTATGAGCCGCACCCGCCCTCCTGTCCCTCTAGGGCCACTGGCTGATGGGCAGATCAGCCTCCTTCCTCTGGAGCGTTGGCTCCTGGGGGCTGCCCTGTACTGGGGCCACTTTGCCTCCCCCCACCGGGTTGCTCCCGCACAGCCCCAGCCAGCTCTCAGGAGGATCTGGCCACATAGTTCCTGCCTGAGCGTGCTCACCTGGGGTCCCCTGTCATGCCAGCCTGGTGACTGACAGATAGGAATGAGTAGGCACCCCCTGGCAGGGCTCCCCTCCTCAGTGCAGAGCCCCCCGTCCCCAGCCGGCCCTTATCTCCTTACCAGTCCGGCCTCAGTCCTGTCCTGCCACAACCTGCTGATTCTGATGGAGAAGAGCAGGGACCTTGGTTTCCTCTATCTTGTCAAGCCTGAGTGGTTGAATTTATAGCTGAGTCTTTCTGTACCCACATAGCTTACTGCTCTACCTCTGGCCCTTCCGCGGCACTTTTGCTCCTGGTGCCCTCACTCTTTGCTCCTGTGAGGGCTCACGTCTCTATTTGTCATCCTTACTCGGCCACAGGGCTTCAGGTCTGTTCAGAGCGAGTGTCCCCCTGCTCCTTGGGCTTGTGCCATCCCTCCCATTAGGAGAGGACTCATGGTCCCTTGCAAGTGCTTCTCCCACTTGGCTCTAGGATCACAGCCACAGACTGGCTGCAGAGACCGCTCTGGGGCAGCAGCTCTCAGGAGACTCACTCTCTGGGCTCATCCACTTGGAGATGAGATCCACACAAGACAGCTTGGTCTGTGTCTGTGGATGCCGACGGCCTCATTCCCAGCTCCTTCTGCTCTCTGACACCAGGTTTTTGAGGGTCTATGCTCTGAGAGAAAATCCCACCAGCTTGGCCTCCTAGGACTGTTCTGCTATGGAGTCCTATCCCTCTCAGCTCTGGGCATTAGCACAGGAAGTGGTAGCCTGCTGTCCACTTTCCAACTTGACTTCTGCTGTGCCTCATCCAGCCCGCAGGGTTTCCCATCAGCCCAAAAGCACAGCTGGAAATCACTTGATAGGAATCTGCCCTCTGTCTGGAGGGAGTGGGGGAGTCTGCAAGGGAGGAGTGTTCAGAATGCCTGGAGTCCTCATTTGTGCTAAAAGGTGAGTGTGGTGCCTGTGTTCTGCAGCCTAGCTGGCCAGGGAGCTAGTGTTATGAGGGTAAGAAAAGAGTCCAGCCTCAGGAAGCAGGTGATTGTGAGGGGGCCGCTGGGCAGCAGGGCTCTGGAGTTTATGTGGGAAAGGGCCCTACAGGTGTGAGCCTGCCCTGCCTCTGCCTGGCATCCTGTGACCATGCTGCTTGCCCATCTTCCTCCCCAGACTGGAAGGCCTCTGCTGAAAGCTCTGTGACTCCTAGCTGGCCTCCAGGGAGCTGCACTCCTGTCGCCTGTGGTCAGGTGGATGGAAAGGGGCCTGATTTTACCCCATCCCTGGGGCGTGGCTTCCTGCTGCACAGTCAGCTTTAGATGCTGTGCCCTGTGCTGCTTCTGAGCACTGCAGGTGAGGTGTTGCCTCCAACTGACTGGAGCTTCAGCCTCTAGCAGTTTGTGCAGAGGAGGCTCCCCACTGAGTAGGAGGCAGAATCCCACTGCTGACAGGGGAGATGGAGCCTCCTCAGGGAGTGGGGCTGCTTGGGGTGAAGAAGCAGTGTGATTGTCACCAGCTAGCATGGGTCATTGCTTTAGTGATAGTGGAAATTACATGAGTTAACAGGCAGAAGCTTTAATTGATAAGTTTATTACAGAAAAAGAAATAAAGCTGACTGTCTTGTAGGCAGCTCCAGGAAGAGATAGAGAAGTCTTCATAGACAGCCCCTCACAACAGATACACATCATTTTTATGATGTCTCAAAGTAATGTCATAATTATTCTTGGACATTTTCTCAAAAGAGGCTGGGGTCTCTGTACAGGATGAAATTTTGTGCAGTGTGAGTTTGCACAGTGCCCACAATGTGCTTGCAAATGTGTTATGTCACCCCTCTGAGTGGAGATTTTATGGAAATGCATTGTAATGAAGGTATAAATGAAGTTTAGATTGCTCTGTCAAATCCATTGCTGTCTTTGCTTGTACCAGCCTCATCTAGTTTGTATGAGCACACTACCTTCTTGTGCCAAGGACTACAGTGGCTTGCTCGCTTAAGTAATAGCTTGATTCACCTTCCCCCTCTTATACCCAGAGTTGGGGATGCCTACCTGTTCTTTCTCAGACTGCTAGTTCAAAGCCCTGCCATTATCCTTCTGTCTCATCAGGACCCGATGCATTTACAGCAAAAACAGTGCATGTGGGATCTCTCAGGACAGTGCTTCAGATGCAGGCTACCACCTGGGCCTGGGGAACATTCCTGGAGCCATAGTGGGCATATGAAGTCTCAGATGAGGTTCTTCTGGGGCCTCCTGTTGCCTGTCATCAGTTGATGTCTTTGTGATGCCAGGGCCAAGAAAGACTTGATTCCAGAGTAGGAATTCACTCCTAATGACCTTGAGCCCTGCCTTCATGTTTGGCTTCTAGCCTGCTCTGCACTGGTTCTCCTACTGGTCATCTTGGCCCTTGTAGTGTCATGTTGCTGGTGAAAACAGGTGCTACTTAAGTGGACAATCACAAGAGTGTTTCACAAGTTGTATTTGAGATCCAGAGTACGTGGTTGATACAGACAAAAACTTCAAGGTGTGGGAGGGACCTTGGATTAAGTTGCCTTATGAATTAGCCCCAGGACTGACCAGGCTGCATTCTATCTGCTCGGGAGAAGTGACAGCAATTTGTGTCAAATGAAGGCAAAAGTGTAGCAAAGCTGGTATAGGTACAACCTGATTCACAGGCTCTCTGACCCAAGAAACTGCCAGCTCTGGGAAGGGGGAATTTTAAGGTGGAGTGGGAAAAGACACGCCACCTTACTGCTGGGACACCTACGCCAGTGCTCAACCCATGCCCATGTTGAACTGTGGGGAGAGTTTGCTACTGCTTCTGCTGCTGCTGTCATGGCTTCCCTCAGAAGTGACAGAAAAGCCTGAAAACCTCAACGACCCTTCTGACAAAGGCTATCAGCTCTACGTGTCCTCATAGCGCATATGCTGACTGCATCCCTACTGCTGAGTCAGAGGCCTGAGAGAAAACCCTGTGCAACAGCTTTTGCATTTGTATACGTTTTCTGGGCACAGGGCCCTGTGCAAATTCAGAGCATCAGCAGCAATATATGTCCCAGTTGGAAAAGTTGGGTCCTTAAATCTCTCTTCAGCTCACAGAGTTCTGCTTTTTGTTGAGCAAGATCAATGAAACAGAGTTATTTACTTCTCACTGTTTGAGGGATGATTCTGGTTGACACAGGGAATTCCAGAGAATTCCACAGTCTGACCTGGGTCCTGAATTGGAGCTGGGTCTGCCTTAGGATCAGTTATAAAGATAAGCACAGCTAAGCCTCTTTCTTCTTATAGGCTGTCAGCATAGTGTCATCCACGTCCTGCTGGTGCTATAGCTTGAATGCATGCACCCCTCCAATATTCCTGTGTTGAAACTTGACTCCTAAGGTGACAGCATTAAAAAGTGAGCCCTTGAGAGGTGGTCAAGCCAGGAGGGCTCCTCTCTCAGGTGTGGGATGAGTAGCTTGTCAAAGGGCTTGACGGGGTGAGTTCAGCCCTTCCAGCCCTCCTGCCAGTTGAAGACACCTCAGTGGTGCCATCTATGGTGAGCAGTCCTCACCAGCCACAAAGTCTGCCAGTGCTTTGTCTTGGACTTCCTGGTCTCCACCACTGTGAAAAACCGATTTTTAAAATTAATTTAATTGGTACATTTTATTGGTACATTTTAGGTATACAATTCATTTACATTTATCATTGGCTGTTTGTACCTGTACATGATATATCTTGGTTCTTATTTTTTTCCCCATTACCTGTGCGCCCTTCACCCCCTCTGCCCTAACCTATTTACATAGATTTCATTTCCATTTTTTTTCTTTTCTCATAGTTTTTCATTTCCCTCTTTTCCTTTCCCCTTCCCCTCCCTTCACTCCTTCATCTTGGGACCTTTTTTCCTATTTCAAATTATCAATTATTCATTTTAATCATTTTAACCCTTGTTCACATTATCAGTTTCTCACACTAGTGAAACTATTCGGTATTTACACATGTGTCCTATTTATTTCACTTAAGAGTATGGCCTCAATGTGCATCCAATTAGCTATAAATGACTCTAGTTTTTCATTCTTTATGGCTGAGTAGTACTCCATTTTATTAAAAAAAACACATTTTCTTTATCCAGTTTCCAGTTGATGGGCACTTGGCTGCTTCCAAGCTTTAGCTATTACAAACTGTGCTGCTATGAACATGGGTGCACATATATCACTGTGGTATGATTCTTTTGATTCTTTTGGGAAGATACCCAGCTGGGGCATAGCTGGGTCATATGGAACCTCTAGTCCTAGTTCTTTGAGGTATCTCCATACTGACTTCCACAGTGGTTGCACCAGTCTGCACTCCCACCAACAATGGAGAAGGGTTCCTTTCTCCCCACAACCCCACCAGCATTTGTTATTGGTTGATTTCTTGACAGCAGCCGTTCTTTGTGGGGTGAGGTGGAATCTCAGTGTTGTTTTCATCTGCATCTCTCGAATGACAAGTGATGTTGAACATTTTTTCATATATTTGTTTGCTACTTTTACTTCTTTGAGAAATGTCTGTTCATTTCAGATGCCCATTTTTGGATTGGGTCTTTGAATTTGGCGGGTCTGATTTTTTTCAATTCTTTATATATTCTACATAGTAGTCCTTTGTCTGAGGTACAGCTGCTAAAAATTTTTTCCCATGTTGTAGGTTGTCTGTTAGCTCTGTTGGTGGTTTCTTTTGCAGTGAAGAAGCTTTTTAATAAGATGAGATCGCAGTTGCTGATTCTTTCTGCTAGTTCCCTTGCTGCTGAGGTTTTGTTCATGAAGTCTTTTCCTATGCCAATGTCTTCAAGAGTTCTACTTAACTTATTTTCTAGCAAGTTTAGTTTTTCTGTTTTAATATCTAGATCTTTAATCCACTTCGATCTTAGTTTAGTGCATGGTGATAGGTATGGGTCTAGTTTTAATCTTTGGCAGGTTGAGATCCAGTTTTTCCAACACCATTTATTAAATAGGCTATCTTTCCTCCAGTGAGGGTGGTTGGCTCCTTTGTCAAAGATGAGGTGGCTGAGCATGTCTGGAGTTGTTTCTGCATCTTCTAATCTATTCCACTGATCCTTAGGTTTGTTCCTTTGCCAGTATCATGCTGATTTTATCACAGTAGCTTTGTAGTATAGTTTCAAGTTGGGGATTGTGATACCCCCAGCCAAGTCTCTGTTGCTTAGAATTGCTTCAGCTATTCTAGGTCTCTTATGGTTCCAAATGAATTTTTGGATTGTTTTCTCTAGTTCTGTGAAGTATATTGTTGGAATTTCTATTGGCATTGCATTGAATCTATATAGTAGCTTTGGAAGTAGGGCTATTTTCACTATATTGGTTCTTCCTACCCAAGATCAAGGGATGTCTTTCCGTTTTCTTGTATCCTCTTGATCTCTTTTTTCAGAGTGCTGTAGTTTTCAGTGTAGAGGTCTTTTGCTTCCTTTGTTAGATTGATTCCTACATATTTCATTTTTTTGGATGCTATTGTAAAAGGAATTGTTTCCCTAATTTCTCTCTCAGTAAGCCTGTTATTTGTGTACAAGAAGGCTACTATTTTTTGAGTGTTGACCTTGTATCCAACTACTCTACTGAATCTCAATTAAGTCTAGAGGTCTTCTGGTGGAGTTTTTTGGGTCTTCTATGTAAAGTATCATATCGTCAGCAAATAATGACAGTTTAACTTCTTCTTTTCCTGTCTTTATTCCTTTTATTTCTTTCTCCTTTCTAATTTCTGTGGCTAATGGAGAAACTGATTTCTATTGTTTATAACTTATCCAGTCTCTGGTATTTAGTTATAGCAAATGGACTGAGACACATACTTGAAGACAAACCCTTCTCCCTGTTAAAAATACTGAAACTTGTACCAAAAGAATGTGCACTCTTATCAATTGCAAAGACTAACCTCACTGCATATAAAGAGATCTACAGGAAAACAGACAACAGACATAGAGAGATCACGAAAAAAGTAAATGAAACTACAATGACTTGCCTGTAATTAAAGAATGGCAGTTAAAAATTATAGCAGCTTCCTATTGGAACCTATCAGAGGGTAAAAATCCAGTAGTTGAATAAGTATCCACTTCTCTGACAAGTGCATGGGAACAGGCATTCTCAGTGACTGGAGGACATGATTGTCTGCTAACTAGGTGCAGCCACTAGGCAGCACTTATATACCAGGGCCGGAGATTTAGCTCAGTGGTTCCAGCGGCTGCTTCGAAAGGGCAAGTTCCCGAGTTTGATCCCCAGTACCAGAATCAGAACAAAACAAAGAAACAAACAAACAAAATATCAGAGTTGCAAATACTGTTGGCCTTTAACTCACTGTCCGACTGTTGAGAAGCTGTCCTTCCTATAAATCTACATTGGTCAGGAATGACATTATGTATGATTGCAGTGCTGGGCATAATAGAAAAAACACTAAGTATCACAAATGTTGGCTAAAGGAGGCTGTTTAAATAAAATATGGTACCAGGCCATGCAATGCTGTACTATGCAAGTATAGCATAAGAAATGAAAGGGAATGTGCATGCTCTCCCAACTTGGAGGGAAGGGAGAAAAGTGGACAGGATAGGGTGAAATTCAGAATATGGTTCAGAATGGGCTTCTGTGCCCTCTAGGAGAGGTTAGTGGATAAGGGTTGTGTTGTGTTCCTATATCAAGTGGGATGTCCTCAGGAATATTACGGGTGTCATCTCCTCTAACACCCACTTGCCATGCACCTGAAGGCCTTGCTCTGGAAACCGCCAGACCATGACACACCCCTCCAACATCAGGTAGAGGAAGGCAGATGAGAGCGAATATGTCTGGCTGTGGTGCTCCCAGAACTACAGGAGTTCCTGCGGGCTCAGGGACTCCAAGCTTGGAGAGGTGCAGGCTACAGCAAGCAGTACATGTGACAGGTGAGACCCAGGGTCCCGCAGCTCCTAGGATAGCTCCGATGCCCCCTACCGGGCTGTCAGTAGGACTACTGCAAGCTGGAGGAAGGTTCCAGAAGGAGCTTGAAGAGACCCTGTGGGAGAGCAAGTGAGAGGAGGGCACGGGGCAGTGGTCTCTGGGCCAGAAAACCAAACTGATGGGCTGAGATGTCCATTGTGGGGAGGGGCAGAGATCTGGGAAGATCGGCGGGAGGCAAGAAGGGTAGGGGAGGAGAGGAGGCTGTTGCCTGAAGGAATGAACATGGTGGGGATGAAGGGGTGTGGAGGTTGCCCTCTAAGCAGGGTTCCACTCTGGCAGGCTGAGCGCTGTCCTCCACAGGCTGGGCAGATGAACACATCTGAGATGCAGCTCCTGCTGGCTTTGTTCCTGTTCCTGGGCCTGGGCCTGCAGCAGGTGGAGACAGATAACCAGACCAAAAGGCAAGGTATGCAGGCCCCTGGACCCAGCTGGGGCTAGGGAGCTGGGAACCAGGAATTGAGCCACATAGGCAGCCCTCGCTGTCCTGGCACCTTAGGTCTTTGGCCTTGCAAGGACAGAGTGGTCAAGGGCTACCAGCCTCTTCTTTGAGCTAGCTGTGCAGGAGCTCTGATCCAGGACTAGCACAGGAAGGAGAGGGCGGGACACCTTGAGGGCTCCCCACAGGGCAGCTAGAGCCACAGGAGGTTTGTGAGGATGTGGGTGGCTCACACTAGTGCTGGACACGAGGTGACTGAGCAGTACACTTGGTCATGAGTGAGAGAACCCCAGAGAGAGGACATAGAACTCAGTAGCACAGGTGGGCTGGGGTTTAGGAAGGCAGGGAGCTGGCTGGTTTTGTGGTAACTTGGAGGTCCCTGGGAGACTCATCCAACAGAGATCTATGACAAATTTTTTATTCATTTTTATTTCATCATTTCAGGGGATTTAAAATGTTACATTTGTGAAGGTGAGAATAGCTTTGACTGTGCAACACAGCAGACTTGTGGGGAAGCTCCAAAGTATTGTGCTCTCACTGTCATAAGTAAGTACCTCAGTTCATGGGGGGTGGTCCCCCAGCAGGGAAATAAATACCTTCAGGAATCAAGAGCTGTCTAGTTTGCCTCACTGGAGCATAACTAATAAAAAGTGACCTTTAAAATTTTTTGAAAAGCAAAGCTCTGAGAGGCCATGAGTATGGCAGGAGAGGGAGGCCCAGCATTGGACAGCATGCAGGCAGCACAGAACGGTGCCCACCAGCAGATAGTCCAGATGGAATACTGGGGGTGGGGTCAGATGGCAATAAGATTAGCAGAGGCACATGCCTGTGATCCCAACACTCTGGGAGGCTGAAGCAAGAGGATTGCAAACTCAAATGCACCTTGGGCAACTTAGTGACTCAGCAAGTCTCTCTCAAAATAAAAAATAATAAAAGGGCTGAGGATATACTACCAAAAAAAAGAAGAAGAAGAAGAAGAAGAGATTTATTTGAGACAAGGTGTCGCTTTGTAGTTCAGGCTATCCTTGAACTTACTATGTACCCCAGGCTGGCCTCGAACTTGTGACGCTCATGCCTCTGCCTCCCAGCTGCGAACTTACTGACATGCAGGCTTTTGTTTTGTTTTTTGTCTTAGTTTGGTTTGGTTTGGTTGTGGTTTTTGGAAATAGTTTTATACATTTTTAAATTTTAAAAATTTAAGCTCTAATGACCTCAGGTACCTCACTGAGAATAGCATCTAGACTGCTTTGTAGGGTATAGGCTTCAAGTATGTTTGTATGTATTCTCTTTCTTTTCCCAGTACTGAGGATTGAACCTAGGGCCTTCCCACTGAGCTACAACCCTCTTTCTTTCTTTCTTTCTTTCTTTCTTTCTTTCTTTCTTTCTTTCTTTCTTTCTCTCTTCCTTCCTTTCTTATTTCTTTTTTTTTTTTTTTTGGACCAGGTTTCACTAAGTTGCTCAATTGCCTGAGCTGTGGGCTGTCACTGAACTCGTGATCCTCCTGCCTTAACCTCCCAGAGTGCTGGAATTACATGCACACCACCATACTGGTCTTCGAGTGTGTTCTTGAAAGAATGTGCATGCCTTTAAAAGTCTGCAGACCAGCTGCTCTATTATCTGCAATTCACCAGACAGATGTTGGGTGCACAAAGAGTGCTGAAAGGGAAATCAGAAAAATCCACAACATTTATTAGTATTTATTAGGGCTTGAGAATTCAAATTCAGTTTGCCAGTCACTCCCCCAGGATCTCTTGAGTACCAGAATGTTTGTGTGATGCTGGGACAGTGGTTAGGGCTCAGTTCAGCCAACATAGATTTTATTCCTTAGCATGGAAAAATGATTTGGACAATGAAAAGTAAGATGGTAAAGTACTAAGATCAGCCTCTCGTCCACAGTCAAGCAGCCTTCTTACCATCCAGCCCTGGGGAATGCTAGAATGGTCAGCAGGCCTTTGCCCAAAGGGTCTATATGTGGTCACAAGGGCTTGATCCACCCCTATGTTTAAAAACTGAGGGACAAGCAGGAATATGTTCCCAAGCAGAGAGCTGTATCCCTAGTGCATGTGGCTAAAACAGGCTGGAGCATCTCTGCACACAAGGCAGCCCCCTTCCCGAAGCACCCTCTTCCTCCTGAGTGATGGCATCTGCCTCCAACTCCATGCCCTCATTGGGCCCCCAAGGGGTGTGGGTTTGATGGGCAGACAGGAGGGCACTAGTGCCAAGGCTTTATACTCATACAGTTTCCTTTTCTCCTTTTCTTTCCTATTAGAAATATTTGCACGTTTCTTCCTCATTTCAAAGCAGTGCGTCGTTTTTTGTCCGGCAGTTGTGAACCTTGGCCATGAAACCCCCAAGCAATTTTTACTGGAAAAGCCCATGCCCTTTGTACACATAAGGTGCTGTACAGAATCTTTATGCAAAATGGAGGGACCAGATGTCCCAGAAGAAACATTCCGAGAGCAGATTGGGAGAGCCTATAAGAGGAGGTGCAGCCTCCTCACAGTGTCAACCCTCCTCACAGCCATGTCCACTGCCTTTTCAGGCCTGGGCGTGCTCTGAGATGCAGGGACGTGGGCTGTCTTCTGTGGCATGAATTCACTGCTGACTGTCAGCACCTGTTGCATTAAACTTACTTTCCATTGACTCCCTCTTGGTCTGACTCATCAGGGCCCTCAGAGTGGGTGGGTGGGGACCAAGACCAGTGGCTTTATGTCCCCGGAGATCCTCACTTCCATCAGAGCAAGTCCCAACTCTGGGCCATGGTTTTACTGATCAGTATCTCTGAAATCAAACTTTGTGATTCTTCATTACACCTTCTTTTCTCTGCTTCTTTGGTGGTATTGATGCGGAGGCAGCCCTTTACCACCCACGAAGCCTGTGTGCTTGGTGCTTCTGACCTTTCAGGGAACCTGGGATCAATGGGGGACATGAATTGGAGTACACATGTCTGGAGTGATGAACTCCTCAACATGACTCTGCCCACTAACTAGAGCAGGTGCTTGGACTCGTGATTTCTCACACGTGTGTTTGCCCAACTTCTGAAAGATGGGCCATGGAGACAGCAGCTGTATCCTCTCTCCAGAGGCAAGATAGTTGTCCACTGAAAGTGAGAATTCCAAGTCAGCATTCTACACTTCCAAAGTACTTGCTCCCATGGTGTTTACTCAGTGTCAGGTTTGGGTCTAGAAGGGATGTACACACATGCTGTTTCCCCTACTCTCTCTTCTGATCTGATACAGGAAGACTATTTGGTAGGCCTGAGAAATCTTCTAGAAAGCGTTTCTATACTGCTTCTGGGGCATGGGGGACAAGGCCATCTTTGTCACATCTACCCTTCCAAACCTGAGACCAAAGTCCCTCCTGGAGGCAGTGGGCTGGGAGGGTCTCTGAGGGCAGGCCAGCATCTCCAGGACTGGATGGGACTTCCAACATGCCTACCCATTTCCTCATTGCAGGCTCTAAGTTCACACCCAGTCCTTGGCGCCCGCATCCAGTAACAATACCCCAGCTACTCCCAATTCAAATCTTTGGGTTGGAGTTCAAGGGACATGACTTTTGTTAGGGCAGGTATATTATTCAGCCTTCCCAGAATTGGACACAATACCTAACACCCACAACCTAAAGGAGGAGAGGTTTAATTTGGCTCCCTTTTTAAGGAGATTTGGCTCTAAGGCAGAAGCAACGTGGCAGAAAGGCATGGTGGAGCAAAGTTTCTCATTCATGGCAGCTGGCAAGAAGCAGAACAGTGGAACAGTGCCAGAGTGGAAGAGGTGAGGGGCCAGCCATAGACTCCCAAAGTCGTGAATCAGTGACCCACCCAGACACACCCAGAACTGTGCTCCACCAATTCATGGGGCAGTTCCCAAAGCCTATCAAATTGACAGTACCACTTAACTGCCGCAGTAGGCAAAAGAGAGCAAGCAAGGAAAGGGAATACAGGTGAGAGTCGCCATGACAACCCAACCTTAGGCTCTTTTCAAGTGGAAGATAATGTACAGTGGCAAAGAATAGTAAAGTTAAGATACGCAAATATGGAAAAGTCCTAAATTTGGAACTGATAGGCCTTTGATACTATTAGTAGGAGTATTTTCAGTGACTTGATTACAGTTATAATTATCCAGATCATTGTAGGGTCAGGATTTATAATGAATCAAAGCATATGCTGTTGTCAAGGTTAGATACCCTCTCTAGAAGGGTCACTGTGGAAGGAAGGGAACAGAAGGTAGTGCCCAAGGAAGGCCGTGGGTCAACACAGAGATACAATATGAATATGAAGGTTCAGTCCAGAACAAGGGCTTGAAGAAACAGCAGATCAACCCTGCTGAGCCCAGAGAGCCCCACACAGAGGGAAGGGAATGGAAGCAGGTCCAAGGCCAGGCAGGAAGAGTAGACAGTTCCTCCCATCAGCCTGGCAGAACAGTAGTTATGAGTGCATAGAAAGATCATGTTTGGGAAGGAGCCAGGAGTTGAAATAATTTATTCCCAGCAGTCACATTTTCTCTGCCCTACGTTTCAAAACAGGTGCCCAAATAAAGTTGGACTTTGAGTAATGTAACAGCAACCTGGGACAGTCTTTTAGGGCAAGAATAGAAGGAGGTCATGGGGGGAAGGGGGGGATCATGACCCAGCCACGCAGAAGTCATTGTGAAGACCTGGGGGAGCTAGGGCAGGACTTCCCTACTAGTAGTAAAGGCAGGTGATGAAATACATCTGGGTGTGTACTACTCCACAAGGTCACATAGCAAAAGAGAAGTAGGTTTGGTTTCAAAAGAGTCCTAGGCTGTGGAAACTTAACTGTGCAGAGAAAGAAAACAAAGCAAGGTGAGAAATGCCATCCTCCAACAATAACGTCAATGCCAAAGACAAAGACCACAGAACTTTGGGAAAGTATATGAGTAATGATGCAGAAAAGAAGGGAATGCAGGCAGTAAAAGCCATGGGAACATAGTATAGAATAAACAAAGGTTCAAGATGAATTAGTTAAGACATGCTTGTTTAACATATGACATTGCTGAGTGTTACAGCTTGTAACTAGATGTCCCCCAAAGCCTCATGCAGTCAGAGGTGGGGTTTTTCAGAGGTGGCTGGATCTAGAGTGTGTGATGCTGGGATTAAGGATGTGATGCTGGGATTAAGAGGGTTCCACCCTGAGTGTGAGTGCTACCCGCCATAACCTAGGTGGAATATAAGAGACAGAAAGAGGGCTGCTGCTGTCGCTTGCTGCTACTGCTTTTGTTGCTTCTGCTTGTCTTCTGCTGCCACCTACCTGCTCTGTGATGCCCCTCTCCCATGCCACCCTGCTTTGGAGCCAGCCAGGTATGGACTGAAGCCTCTACAAACTGTGAACCAAAATAAACCTTTCCTCTTTTAACTTTAGGTGTTGGGTATTTTGTCTCAGTAACATAAAAAAGTAACTAAGACACTAAGCTAGGCTACTGTTAGAACATGTGCTGTAAGTGATAGAAAACCCCAAATAGTAGTGTTTTAAAACTAAATGGTGTGTTTCTCACTTGTGTAAGTGAAGTGAGGAGGTGGGCACCTCAGTGAGGCAGGAAACTAGGGCATGGCAGACTGGCTGCAGAAGTAAGGCATGATCTGTTTATTATGAAATCCCAGGACAGATGAGCAGAACAGTTCCTGAAGCCCTACATGGGGACTTCTCGCGATAACTTGAGCAGGTTTTTGATAGTAAGACCTACACCTGATGACAGCCTGAGAAGGAGGAAATACAAAAGGACAGTTGATAAATTCTGGATATTAGTCCTCTACTTGAGGAATAGCTGGCAAAAAGTTTTCCTGTTCTGTAGGTTGTCTCTTTACTCTGCTAATTGATTCTTTTGCTGTACAGAAGCTTTTTAATTTAATGTAATGCCATTTGTTGATTCTTGCTGTTATTGCTTGTGCAATTGTGGTTCTGTTTAGAATATCCAGAATATATAAAGAATTCAAAAAATGAACCACTTAAAATAAAAGATCCAGTCAAGAAATGGGCAAGTAAAATAACCCTACACTTCACAGAGGAAGGAGTACAAACAACCAACAAAAATGTTCAACATCTCTGCCAATTAGAAGAATGCAAGTTAAAATAACTCATCTTACTCCAGAAAGAATGGCAGTCATCAAAAAATTGAACAATAACAAATGCTGCCATGGCTGTGGTGAAAAAGAAACCTTCCTACATTGTTGGTGGGAATATAAACTAGTACAACCATTATGGAAATCATTATGGAGATTTCTCAAAGAACTAAAATTAGAAATTCCATATGACCCAGCTATCCCCTTTCTAGATATTTTCTCTAAAGAGTTTAAGACATCATAGTACAGCAATACATGCATACCAATGCAGCACAATTCATAATAGCTAAATCCTGGAAGCAGCCTGTATACTCATCAACAGATGATTGAATAAAGAAAATGTGTTCTCTCTATATAATTGAATACCCAGCTACAAAGGGAGAAAAATTTGAGACGTTTGTAGGAAAATGGATGCACCTGGAAAAATAATGTTGAGTGAAATAAACCAGACACACATAAGCTTAAATGCCAAATGGTATCTCTCATTTGAGCGAGGCAAAGTACAAACAGAGAATAATAAAGGAGGGATAGAAGGAGACAGAGGAATGGACGTCTTGCAAATGGGAAGGGGTCTAAGAGACCAAGGGCAAAGGGTGAGGGAAAGAGGAAGGAGAAATAAGTAGAATAAAGGTAAGCCACGTTCAGGAACCTAATAACCTCAGTAACATCACATGCCATAAACATAAGTTAATCATATCAACAAGAATGAAAATAGAGAAGGGAATTAAAGGAAGGGGGAGGGAAGGGAAAGGGATTTTAAAAAAGAAACAAGATGCATTATTTACATGTACCCACTCCCCAAGATGATTGCAAACTGCACATACTACAAACATGTACTAATAGAAAAATTTTTTAAGTTTTATAATGGACAGTCACCATTGAGTTTTTTTGCTACTGTCTTCTTTCATGGTAGCCCATTCTCATCCTGTAGAGTGCACTTTATTTTCCTACTTTTACTTGGCCCAAACTCACTCTGCAGAGCCTGTTTTTTTCCCTACCTTTAGTAAATATAAAACCTTGCTATTGTTTGTGCTTGTCTCGACCAATTCTTTGTGCAAAACAAAAAGAATCTAGAAACTGCTAGTAGAAGGAAGGCTCCAGCACCACAAAACCCAGTAACACCAGGGCTCAGTGGCCCCTCTCAAAGGCCCCCATTCCTTGGCACCACTGCAGGCTGATGGGTACGCT